CACATCCTATGTATACTGAAGTTTAGAAAGAAGTCTTTTGAGGAGACTAATGTTAGAAGTGGTTTGCTTGGTTTTGTTTGAAATGAAACACTTTTTTGGGTGTTGAAGCTTCCGACACGCTGGGATTATGATGTATTTTAGAATGAATTTCCTTCATCCCCTGTCAACTTTGGTTTGGAGACAAACCGGTTACAGCATTGTGCTGCCTTGAGTGTAATTTTTAGTTCAAACCAACGTTGGTTCGTCACAATGCCGAAGCCGATTTTCTTATCAACAAAAATTTACAAGAGATAACAGAAATTCGTTCTAAAATACACCATATTTAGATGAAATTATTAAAAACATTATTTTTATATTTGAAATATTTTTGATTAAATTTGTATAAAAATATACATATCGCTATTTACTTCAATTGTATCATGATCGAAAAAAAAGAGTTGGTTATGCAGAAGTTATCGTTACCTATTCTTATATGTTGTGCAAAAATTTCTCAGTATTTCACTACAAAAAAATATGTATGCACTTCTACTATGGGCGTTTATATCGAGAGTTGCTTTTTTGAGTTATGGCGCTATTGAATTAAATGAGTGACATGTGGATTATGTATATCCCGCAAACCATTTTTTTGTCTCTAAATAGTAGAAAACTCTTGAAGAATTCGTAAGGAAATCATTTTTTTCTCATTCCAATTTTTTGCTGATATTTCTAAGATAAAATGTACCAAGCATACTTCGATTCTTTTACAACAACTTTGGTTTGCAGAGTACTTTCCTCCGCCCAATATATCAATACATTTTATCAGTTCATGCACAAACAAATATACTTACATATCTCACTTTCGCTGCGTATGCTGAAAATGCCTACCCGTGCATTTGGAAGAAAATCGCATTGTTTCATTATATTTATTTATTGTTTTATGCAAATCCACTCAATTCTTCATACACATATACATATGTATATGATTGGATTTTTATTACATGCTTACATTTGTTTTCTATACAAAAAAATGTACCAGTCACAGTATATTAGATTTACTCTTCGTTATACTCAAAAAATTGCTTTTTTGCACGAATTGCATACCTTTCATATACATATTTATGAGTTATACTAAATATACAGGGTGTGCCAGCCGGGAGCTTGCTTTCTTCTCAATGTACATACATACATATACATATATTAGAGCAGGTCAATTTTTTTGCATCCAAGGCACATCTCGATTATTGTTATTTGGGTAATTTCAAGTATTTTTGCCCAAGAAACCATAGGTCTAAAATGAATTTCGAGCCAGCGATTTTTCTATCTAGTTTCTTTTTTTCAAATAGTGGCTCACCTGTTGAAACGGCTGTATTGATGACGTACCTTTTTTATGGATATAACGCCTTTTTTCCGAAAATCGACAACATTGTTGCGAAAATAAATTAAAATAAGAATAAATAGCCTAAAATGTTCAGCGTTGAAAATTAGGGGGAAGGTAGGTATATTCATGTTCTCTGAATTTTACAAAACAATTTTTTTCTCATTTTAATATTTTTTTTTCCAAAAATTCAACTTGAAAGATAAAAACATGAAATGTGAATGAAAAAAAAACATAAACAATTTATAATGTTTCAATATTTAAATACGTATAACGTATTTTTTTAATATTATGTTGGTAATACTGTTTATCGACATATTGTATGACAAATGACATGTGTGACAGCATGCTTTTTCATTTTCATACTGTGCTTTTTCATTTTCATACTGTGTTTAATATGTAAAATAAAAAATAATAATAAAAATAAAAAAAAATTAAAAAAAAATTTCAATGCTGAACATTGGAGGCTATTTAAAAATTTAAATTGCATTATGAGACAGTAAAATTTCATGGATTTTCGCAACAATGTTGTCGATTTCGGAAAAAAGCATTAAAATCCATAAAAAAACTACGGAAGCGCCCTCTGGCGGCCCTCAAAAGAAAAAAGTTAATGCCAGAAATGGATTCCTCGTCCCCAAAAACCCCAGATACACATTTTGGCTAGTTTTCAATACAGCTGTTTCAACAGGTGAGCCACTTTTTGGAAAAAAAAAAACTAGATAGAAAAACTCGCTGGCTCCAAATTCATTTTAGACCTATGGTTTGATAAAAATCTTTATAAAATTTCTTTCCAAAAAATGTATCAAGAAAGCACAGAATTGGGCGGTTAATCTGCGTGGGACGAAAGTGAGACAAATATATGTAAATTTACTAAGCGAGTTACATTTCTGTGCCAATTTCGACAATTATATATGTATGACTTGGCGTATGAGCAACTAAATAATATGTACTTAGCAAATATGTATTTATGTATGCATGTATGTACGTACCCAGCCAGCAGAGAAACGTAATTTTTGCCGAAATTGCAGTTTTCGTACATTTTTCGTATCCGGAAATATTCAGAAAACAATTTTCATATTTGTTGATTTTTCGTATCCGAAAAATGTCATCATCTTATTTCCAAACAATAATTTTAAAATATTTGTTCAAACTGAGCATTTGAAAACATGTATACGTATTCACCAGTAGCTGAGTGTGCAGAGAAGTGTGGTACTATTTGTTAGCTTTGAGGAGGTCCCAGGTTCGAATTCCGTCAGAAGCAACACATTAAAATTATTTATTCAAATTTGAAATAATTGCTGAATCTTAAAATGGTTTTTTATTTGGTTTCCGGCAACTATGAAAAAGTTTCTGTGAAGTTCATAATGAAATCGTTTTCAACGAAAGATTTAATCAGACAAATTTCAGGAAAATAGTCGAAAGCGCATCCATTTTACAACAATTTTCGATAGTTTTCTGCATATACGTTTCGGATGAACACTTTAGTGGGAGAATTGATCTGAAAAACGTCCGAAAATGGAATCGGAAAACGGATGAAACATCAGGTTATTATACGAAATTGTTTCCATTTTCGGATACGTTTCCGGATATTTTGCTGGCTGGGTATGTGCGAGAATTTCTGTGTAAGCACAAACGTATTCATTAGGGATGCCAAAATATGCGGAGAATTATGATCCCGGGATTTCGGGATATGTTTTAAGTAATCCCGGGTTTCACATTGACACATAACTTTTATGAATATGAGTAAAAGTTCAATAACTGAAGGCAATTAAACATACCATGAAATAAAACTATTTAACATTTACGATAAACTGGTTGTAAAACTCGCATATTTATTAATACAGACAAATCTTAAAGTAAAACATTTTTAAAATTGTATTTAAAAAACCATGTGATTGAGGAAAGCCTACACTGGCGATCAAAAGTGAGTGCATGGTGTTTCTTTGTCAAATATTTGCAATGTTTTCCAAGCTAAAATTTTTTCGTTATTTTTTTATAAAAATAAATTTAGAAAACTTCTTATCTAAATATTGAACTTTTCAATCTGAATTTTTAGAAAAATTTTGGGTATGGAGGTAAATAGGCTATGTAATAAATAAAATTAAGAAAATTAAAACAAAATTAAAAAATTTAAAAATTAATACATAAGTCAATTAACAAATTTTTTTTACTAAAATTATAATTATCTCTCGAATTAAGCTAAAAAAATTTGTTTGAACTCATTTAACTTTAATGTTCTTGGGCGAGCCGAAGATATTGACGAAAATTTTTCATCTTTCGCACAGAGTTTTTTCAGAACATAATGAACCATATATTTGCTATTAGCAATAGAAGCACAAAAAAGCGGATTTTCGGACCACGCAACTGCATACCCAAAATTTTTCTAAAAGTTCTGATTAAAAATTTCACAATTTAGATACAAATAGTGATGATTAATAAAAGAAAATTTAAACAAAAAAAAAAATACAAGACAGGTTTATTCTACTTCATAAAGAAATGGCACGCCTTTTCTTCCATACAAATTAATTTTTTATATGGAAAAGAGTGCATAACACCGTAAAAAAAAAAATTATCAAAAATCAACACGATTTTTTAGGAACTTCAAACTTGCGCTTTATTATACTAGAATTGAATAAGCTATAAAACTGCATACCACTAATTATTTTAGAAATAAAAATTAAAATGCTTGGAATTGGGATGAGATATTTGTGGAATTTTTATAATTTTTGTACAAAGTCTGAAATTTAGATTTATAGGGTATTTGTTGGATGAAGAGCTATACTTTTATATAAAAGTAATGAACCTTAAAAACAGCTAAAGAAAAGTAGTCAAAACTGGTAAAAATCTTGATTTGCTATCTTTTGTGGCAGGGTGTACATATAAAAACCTTCTGATGAAAAACATCTTTACATCTTTTAGGCTGAACTGTATAAAGGTAGTCATAAGCCATTTGAAGATAATGCCACCTATCTCCCCCATTACAAAATATTGCAGCCTCTTTTACCAGCACGACGGATAAATTATAAATTTTTCGATTTGAGAAAGTTGGAGTAGAGTGATTTAAAAAATTATGTAAATTTTCCTTAAAACTTTCTGTTTCATTTACATTAGCGACGCTATAAATACATTCAATTAATCTTTTTCAAAAAAGGCTCAGGCAGCAATTTTAAAATTACAGTTTCAAGCTTTTTGTTAATTGTAGTTAAAACGGCATTTTACTAAAATCATAATTCAAATTCTTAAACAAGTTCTTACTATCAATTCGATATTTCACATTTTTCGGGATCCCAGAATTAGCGCAAGCAGATCCCGGGATTTTCGGGACGTCGAAAATACCGGCATGGGCATCCCTAGTATCCATACATAAAATTGTAAATAAAGTGTTTTTCTTGTATGATGTGATCAAATATTTTATGACTTTAATTAATATTCATTAAAATATGAAGCTATCAAATGAACAGCTACAGCCATATTTGTGTATGCTAGGACTGTATTCAATCAATATACATACATATATACATAGGTACGTAAAAGCAAACCACGATAATTTTGATTTAATTAGTTTAATATTGCCCTTTTCACAAAATCTTATTTGCATTTTCAGTACCTTGAAGAAATCATATCAATAAACCTTTTAAAATTGTTCAGCATTGGACGTCTTAAATTCACTGTTCGATATTCATGCATACAAATATTGTTCTGTTGATTGTTGTTTCAATAGCTTACCTAAAAAGAAAAGAACACAGAAATATAAGATGTTGAAGCAAATTTTAAAATGATGTTAATTTTAAGGGCTGCGTGAAGTTATGGATATAGTGAATATTTCATTGAAAAATATTGTATGAGGAATTATAGTCCTTTCAGCGTTTTCGAAATACGGGTTCGCCAAATGTACCAAGTCAATTAATTACAATACATAAAAACGCCATGGGGTATTCCCTTAAACACGAAAGAGCTTACAAAAAAAAAATCGAAATATAAAATGGCAACTGAAATATGTTACCCTCCTTTTGAATGGCGTTTATTGGATATGCAGTTAGGTAAGGTTGATGTAGCAGTCGCTACAATGCCTTCTGACAGAAAACAAGGAATAGGAGGTCACGTCGTAATATGAAACTTATAGGTGAATAAAGTGATGGAAGCCTGATATGAGGTGGACGCCTAAAAAGCGTTTTGTGGAGTTCTAATATTATGACAGCTGTCGCGTCCTGATATCAAAATCGTGCCGGCCATTTCAGGCCAAGTAAGGAATCTATGAATCGGAAACACGCGTACAGTTTTTGGACGTATGTATTTACGACTCCGATCGATATCTTTTTGCATCCAATATGCATCTCTGGGCAGCAAAAAAAAATTATCGTCCATCAACGCAAGGAAAGCTCTACTCTCGCCCTTGCATAAGCGGTATTAGCTCTTAAACGTCGCATATAATGTTTCAACGAGCGCATTGTGTAAAAGGGTAAAGTCGACCGTCAACAAACTGGTTGAGTCTTATCAGTGTGGCTTTATACCACATGTGTACCATATACCAAATCTTGGAAAAGACTTGGAAGAGGAGGATGGGCACACATCGTCTACTTATTGACCGGCTTCAGAACCGCTTTAGACAGCAAGAAAAGGTGTTCCGTATATGCCGCGGAACTCATGGGGTTACTTCAGAATTGAAGAGGGCCTCCGATCAATTTAATACTAACCGATGTTTCAGACAGGCAGACTCTTTTAATTTGATGCTGGGTAGAACAATATAAAAAAATATATAAAAAATTTCGATCTCACTATGCATTCTTCGCAAGCTTACTTCTTGATAGTATCCTAGGAATCGCACGGCGCATCATCACCTCGCCAGTAATTTCGATTATTCGTCGGTTGTGAATTTTAATATCGTTCATATTGTTATTGCAGGTTTGGTGTTGTAAACAAACTGATGAGCAAAACATCGAAGTAATGTTGTTTTTCATGTGCATCCCTGCTCTATAAGAAGCATGTTCAACGATGAGGTGGGTCTTGGAGTAATCAATGAAAATATTTTGCGAAATATTTGGTAACTAACCGAAATAACGTGTTGAGTGAAATCTTTTTTTAGTTGACATAATCAATTTATTTTCTTAGTGCAAAAAAGAAATGACTGCCGTTCTTTATAAAACTCGTTCAAAATCGCTTAGGCTATTACAGCTTCAAACAAAAAAAGAAGAGCATAGAAAACCATTCACACTGGAAAAATGAGACAGCAATTATTTGCGTATATATATATTTTTTCAGACAATTGGTACTACAAGCTTTAGCAAACTTATTCATGGAGCGATACTCAGTTGAACAAAGCGTAAAAGTTACCCAAACTTTTTACGGAATTGGTCGTTCTGCAAAAGGTAGATTTCGTGCATTTTTCAGCCAACAATCAGCCGCTTTATGCAGAAATTGCAAGATACTGGGACGGTGCAAAACGTGTCAATACCCGTGCATCCGAAAATATTGATGCAGGGTCATCGAACCGTACTGTTATGGCGAACGGTGAACACGATTACAAACGTTTTATGGCCCGAAAGGGATGATATGGACTTGGACAATAGCGCCCTAACGAAGCTCCCAGGACCCACTAACTCACGAAACAACGAGGTAAAACGGCCCCGAGATCTTCCGATTTAACACCATTGCACTTCTTTACCTGGAGTTACGTGAAAAGTGTGGTCTATGTCAATAAGCCCGAGATGATTCCAGAGCTGAAGAATGAAAACAAACGCGTTATAAATGATATACAACTCGAACTATGCAAAAACGTCATGGAAAATTTTTACATGTATGCGCATCCTATGTTGCCGCAGGAGTCGTGATGGGCGTTTAACACATATGCCATAGACTATAAAACATGATGAAATAAAAAAATTATTGAGACAAAGTTTGTTGTGTTTTATTTATAAAAGAAAGTCTGTAGTCTTATTGAATCACCCTTTGCATTCATATTTTATGAAACTCCACCTAAATATTTTAAAAAGCAGTTCCGAAACATCATAGTAAAATAGCCTTAACTTAATAAATCAAATAACGTTTAAAGTGTATGTAAACGCAATTTTATTATTTGCTATTCTTACATACTTACACATGTACACACATACATAATAGCTTGCACGTTAATTGAAAATTTAAAACAAATAGAGAAATATAATTTTACTTGAATGAATTTCAAAGATTTGCTTTGTTATTTTCAAAACTTCAATGGGTAAAAGTGGTCCGAGCACCCGTTAAGTAGACAGAAAAGCGGCAGAAATGTTCTTTTGTTCTCGTGAACTGAGTTACTATCGATTTGATAACTTCCAATAGTCACTAAGAAGTGGCATCGTGGCGATAGACAACAAAATTCTTTTCCAATTGCTGGCAGGGTACATACACTTGTATGTATTTACGTATCGTCGTCCGTATGCCAAAAACATGAATATGTAAAAATTTAAATTTTGGGGAATCAAGTTTGAAAGTTTTTTTTTTACGAGACTTAACTCTATATATTTATGCAATTGAAATCGTAAATGTGCGCGCATGGTATTCTGGGTTTTGCTGTAACAGAACATCCAAAAGTTAATCAAGTCAACCCAATAACTCAAAACTGATAAATTTGCAGATTCATGCTTGTGGCATGAGGGCGACGATATGAACTCGGTTCCGGAAAATGGTGTGAAAGAGCGCAAATCACGCTGTGTCTATAAACAGTGTGTAGTAATTTGATATTGGAGGAAGGATACGCTATTTATGGTGCAAAACACTTCATTGATATCCAAACAATACCCAATGGGTGGTCATTTCGAACAGCTGGAACTAAACAAATAAATAGGTGAATAGGAAAATTCAAAGGCGAAAGTGCTAAAGTGTTAAGGCCAAAGTTGGTTTGCGGTAACTACAGCATTGTCATGTATTTGTATATACATACGTATGTATGTATATGCCTTCTATATATGTATATAAGAACACGAATGTGAATGCTCTTACTGATTGAAAATAAAACTAATGTGGATTAAGGCCAAGTGTGTTATGCAAGACGCAAAAACACAAATGGGTTCCAGGTAAGTCAGTCAATTTTTGCCAGCTTACCCGGGAATTCTAAATTGTTCGTGACTATGTGAACTTATACATATATTGAAATAGAATCAAGCATCCTAAGTAGACAATTATGAACGACGCAATAAGAGGATAATAACTAAGTATAACAATTATATGGTGCATTCCAGCCCAATTCGGGCACCATTTGGCCTTTTCATCTCCGATTTTCTTTTCATAATGTCACAATGCCTGTTCTGAGGTATGTCGCAGAAACGTGGTTGATGTCGAACAAAGATGAGAAAGCTTTGGGTGCTTTCGAGAGAACTATTCTAAGTAAGATCTACGGATCTGTTCGCGTAGACGACGGGTATAGAAGAAGATGGAATGACGAACTGTGTGAGCTTTTAAACGACATGGACATGGTTAAGCGCACAAAAATTCAGCGATTGTGCTGGCTTGGATATTTTGTACGCATGGATGACGACGCTTCGGTGAAAAGATCTGTCGACTCCGCCCCCATGGGTGGACAGCGAAAGCAAGGGCGCGGATGAACAAAATGGAAAGACCAAGTGCAAAGGGACCTGGCTGCAATCGGAATGAGCAACTGGCGCAAATACGCACAGGAGAGAGGCAATTGGAGAAGATGTTCGGTCTCGGACCGAACCAACAAACGGTTGTAGTGCCAAATAAGAAGTAGAAGAATATTTAATGTTATAGTTCCAGGCTCCCTTGTCTTATAAAAGTTTTTTTTGTCCAGCCATTTTTGAGAAATCGATTTTTGAAAAAAAAGGGTTCTTCTCTTTTAAAGGCCCATAACTTTGCCAAAAATTAACCAATTGGGGCAATTTTTTTAAGTTTCAATTTTCAAACACTTTGGAATATGAAATCAAAAAAAAATTTCAAAACCATGTTTCTATAAAATTCTCACATTTTTAATATAAAATGTTGATTCCCAAAAAGCACACACTGGTCGTTTTATTTGAATTTTTTTCTAAAAAAGTGATACTCATTCCGCAACTTTTAAGCTAAGTCCGATAATAGCATAACAATGGTATCAGTTTTTTTTTATTTTTAATTTAACGGAAAACTAACGAATTTTGTGCAGCTCAACTTCAGAAACTCTGAATGCATCAAATCAAATGCATTAATTAAAAATATAAAAATAATTACAGTAAAGAAAGAAATTTTTGAGCTAGGCTTTAAAGTTACGGAATGAGTGACGCTTTTTTAGAAAAAATAGATGAGTACTTTTTTATACTAAAAATTTGAACAGTTCATAAAAGTCTGATATGAAACATGGTTTAAAAAATTTTTTCGATTTCATTTTCCACAATTGTTTTGGAAATTGTAATTGCCAATTTTTCACAAAATAATGGGCATTTAAAAAAGAAAAGTGTCTTATTCGAGATTTTAAAAAGGCTGGACGAAAAAAATTAAAAAAAAATCAAGGAGGTCTCTCTCAATTGTTAACATAATAAATAATAAAAAAATTGGAGGTGCAAAATCCAAATGGTGTCCGAATAGGGCTGGAATGCCTCATATATGTATGTACGTTTATATGTTTGTAAATAGAAAAAATTCAGAGCTTCCGTCATGCGAAAGAGTCGCCAGAAGCATAGCCATCAAAATAGTTACATATATATATTCAAAGCTAAAAAGCATTCAAAACACAATAGCCTTACTATATCAACGCTCAATAA